GAAGGACTTTCCCCAGAGGTAACCCTTTGGAAGGCGGCAACGATGGCCCCAGTGCACATAATCAGCCCCAACAGCGATGCATGACCATACCAAACTTACTTCCATGACAGTCAATGTTGATTTGACAGTACTTTGCAATTGTAGATTCGGCATTCCAATTTCGGAGAGGCAGCAACGAATAAGTTTAGATTTAACACCGGTGCAACACTATTGACAATATTTTCCTCAGTTGCGAATATCGGACATATTCCTGATATGCTTTGCTAACGAGGCAAACATACATCACAAGTTGAAATGCTTCTTAAAAAGTCTAATCCAGAGTTATTTAAAAGAAAGAAATCCTGCCTACTAGCCTCGATAGCAATGAAATCTTTTGCATATATCCTCCAATCTGTAACCTAAAACTGATAGCTCACTGATTAGAAGAAAGAAGAATCTGAAACAGCTTTAATGGATGATATCAGGAGATCTAGCGAGTTTACACCATTGGCGATGTCTAGATGGCGAGATCAGGGAATATCCAACAAGATAACATTCCATTATTCAATGGAGAATGTCATTTGTCGTATGAAACGCTGGTATAGAACGAAGAGCTAAAACGCCTGTGAACGTAGTGAAACGGTGCGTGTTTATTAGTTTCCCAGTTGCGATGGCTTGATGAACGACATGTTTAATTTGGTTTTTCGCATTGTATATGTGAAGCAGGATTATAACAATGAATAGAATGACATCAAATTGTAAAACAATCTCTGGAGGACGAAACCTTTACAGTAGTTGTTTTTTCATGCTATATAAAAAGAGTTTCATATTTATTTAGTCTAATATGACCGCAAAAGCAAAATATAATGTTTTTATTTGCAAAATACACAGTTGTATTTGATTTTGTACGGAAATCTGCATATTTTGATAAAACTGCATATTATTACTGTACCTGCACATTCTACCCGTAGCTCACAGTCGGTCGAGGATGTTTTTGTTGGCAAGGGTTGCGTCGCAGTATTTCGGTGTATGGTACAAGGGTTATTTTAGTTATTATTATTTTTTGAGTTGTTCATATTGACAGTTCTTTAAGTAGCCGCCTGTTCGATTATGTATATAATCTGTAATGATCAACGACTGATTATATTCCGGGTCCTTCCTTATGACGATACGTTATTAATGTGATTGCAGCAATGAAATTGATTATGCCTGTCACAACAGTTTCGCCAGTTCTCAATTATTTTGTCTTTC